AGGTCGCAATTTTGATGATAATTCAATGAAATTTGGCACATGATCTTCTATGGCACCGGAGACAAAGCCTATTGAAAGTGGATAACATCGGTCCATTATTTCACCTAGCCCCCATACAACTGAACACCTGAATAGGGCTTGTAAACCTTGTAATCAAACTACAGGATGTAATTTTGAAAATAATTCAATGAAATTTGGCACATGATCTTCTATGGTACCGGAGACAAAGCCTATTAAAAATGGTTAACATCGGTCCATTATTTCACCTAGCCCCCAACCCGACGAATAGGGCTTTTAAATTCATAATTATGTTTAATATACTCGTATCTCAACAAAAAGCTGGAAAACCAAGTGCTATACTAGCCTTGATGACTCTCATGAATTTTATAATTATAGGGTCTCATTTGACCATATCACCTATACAAAGCCCCCTTCAAAATTTGACTTAAATGTCCACAATTTTATTCAATAATAAATGGCTTAAGTATATCTGAGTCAAGGTACAATTCAACTACAATGCTTTATTATGAAAACAAAATCACATTTCATTTTTGTAACAGGTGTAGGGTATTATATGGTCGGCCTCGCCCGACTATAATTTCTTACTTGTTTTTAGATAACTTGAGCTACGACCAATTACGGGCCTCTCCAGAAAAATTTCATAGAGTGATTCATATGTATGTACACAAAACATATTTAACAATAAAATATGTGAGTTTAAATGATTTTCGGAAGAGAGCCTTATATGGGAGCTATGACCAATAATGGATCTATCTGGAGAAAAATTGTTAGAATGATTTATACGTATACAAAACATATTCAAGTTGAATTTTATACCGATAGCTTTATTCATCAATGAAACATATGCGTTTAAATGATTTTTGAAGTGGACCCTATGCCAATTATGTTCTTATCCGAAAAAAAATTAGAGTGATTCATATATTAACGAAACATATTTGTGTCGAATTTTATCAAAATACTTTTATTTGATAATTAAAATATGTGCGTTTAAGTGATTTCCGGAAGTGGGCCTTATATGGGAGCTATGACTAATAATGGACCGATCCGAAAAGAAATTCGGTAGAATGATTTGTATGTACACAAAACATATTCAGCTCGAATTTTATCATAAAAGCTCGTCAATGAAATATGTGTGTTTAGGTGATTTTTGGAAGTGGACCTTACATGGGAGCTATGACCAATTGTGGACCGACTGAGAACTACGTTGGTAGTATTATTTCTATTCATATTATATTTGTATGTACAAAATTTTGTATTGATACCGAGTTATTAACGATAAACTTATATCCGGGAATATACATCTTTGTATGGGGGCTATGGGAAATATTGGATCAATTGTTATGAGTTTGAACATACTTGATCCTGGCACAAAAAATAATGTGTGACAAAATTCATCGAAATATCTTTGGTAGTTTCTACGAAAACTACTTAAGAATTGGGAAAAAAGTTATTTTTTTCGAGGTAGTCTGAAATTTTTAATCCTAACTTTTTACGTCGTGAACCAGTTTTACTGATTTTCAATACCAAACTGGACCGGATAATAAGGAATGTTTTGGGTGAATTTCGTGAATTTTTATTGCTTCGTTTTAACGTGAGCGTGTTTTACACTGACAGACAGACGGACATAGCTAAATAGGAATTTCATAAGGATCAAGAATATATATACTTTGTTGTTGGGTCTCAGATGAATATTTCTTGGTGTTACACACGGAATGACAAAGTTATATATACCATCTATCACCACTAATGGTGGTGGAGGGTATAAAAAAAACTCTATATGATATTGATTGGATGATTCGCGCATTTTTATGTTCACTTTTTGAATAACTGCTATAACACCAAATTTCTAGGCTAAATATAAAAAAACATGAACCAATTTTCAAGAAATTTGGCAAACATACAGAGTTAGAGGAAGAGAATGTTTAATACACCAAATCCGAATAAATACACTAATTTCGGGCATGTTGTGATCTTAATTAAATGCAATGACCTTTTTCCGTCCATTTTTTGTTACATTTATAATGCTAAAGATCATGATATATATAATTCTTATAGTATATGAGAATTATTATTTAGTTAAATTTTTAATCAAAAATTTATTTTTATATGAAAACTCTAAAATGTTTGACTAACTTCACGATTAGGTAAAATAAAAATCTGTATTCAATTTAATTTATTATCAAAAATCGATTTTCATCTACAGCGTTTTCCCCCGGAAAACTGTTTTTATTTAAAAACCTGTAATCTGCTGTATATTCTCAGAAAATTACTATTTTCAAACAGAATCTTTATTAGATCTTAAATGAATGTCTACGATGCCACATTTGTATGCAGAATAAAAACTACTGAACAAAAATCGCTTCTAAAATAGGGAAAATAATGAAAAAATTACTTTCTATAACTCTCAATTTGAGAAAATAATAAAGATCCGTAATCACTCATATTTTCCATACAAATCGAGTTTTAAATCAAAAATAAAAAAATTAAATTTATTGTTAATCGAGATAACAATATATCTTGATATAAATTCTGTTGTCGTTTTTCAAATGCAGCTCAAATCTAAAAAACCATGAAGATATGTATTTGACTACTCATTAGAGTGTCCTGAAAGACTTTTGCATATCTTTTATAGGTAGACCTCTCAAACGATGCATAGAAAGCATTGTTCATATAAAATCTGGATAAATTGATCTTTTGATATCTTTTTATACTTTTAGAAAATTATCAACCAAAAATTCTGCACAACTTTTTCTGTATGTAGCGCCGTATTTATTATAAGCTTTTCAAATTAAATAATAATTTTGAATAACTCCAGCACACATTTTCCATTTACAAATTCCGAAATTTTTTTTTAATTAGAGGAAGACGTGGATATTTTAATAAGTAAAATTATTTGGGTATCTGCTTTGTACATCTAACGATATTTGACCCTTATTCTTCGGATTTAATAAGTGGTGTCTAAATTCAGTCAAAACTTTAGTGTGGATACATAAAAGTTAATGAATAAAAATAATATGTTTAAACATACTTTTGTATAAATGGATATATTTTTGAGATACAATGATGAGACAAAAACGGTGTTTTTACTCTTTAATGAACTACTAAAAATAGTTTGTCAAATTAAAAGTTGTTTTGTTTTTCTGTCAAGATTCAAGGATTCTTCATATTTTTTAGAACAGAAAAAAACTTAATTTTGTTATTTTTAAAGAATTTGAAATCTTCCAAATTTTCGTTTCAGAGTTTCTTCAATTGCCTGTACTTTTTCAAATAGAAAGAAAATCGCTTGAAATTTTGTACGGTTAATTGTACGTATTTTTGTAGTTAAAAAAATGGCCCGATGCCTTTTGTCTCTATACACCAGGGGCACTACAATTCAAAGTACAGTGTGACCGAATTGGGAAAAATAAAACAACTAATTTGAAAGTGTCCTTAGTTCCCTACCATTAAGAATGCTGATTTCAGTATAATTTCTAAAAAAAAGTTTCCTAAATGTTTCTAAAAATTAGACAAAATTTCCTAATGAAATGAAAGCCCGATGAATATTAAAGTTCTTCGTGCAAAATTTGAAGAATCTAGTTCTATGAGTTTCCCAGATAAAACAAATTTTGTATTTATTTCATATGGGAGGTGGCAAGCACTCTATTGAAAGTCCGCCCGTTATTCTCTAAATGCTCAGATGAGTGTAGAAGTTCTTTATGTAAAATTTGAAGATTCTAGCACTAATAGTTTCTCAGATATACGAATTTTTCTATTTAATTCATATGGGCACTCCAAGCCCCTCCAGATGAAAGTCTGCCCTTTTTTCTCCAAAATGTTCTGATGAATATTAAATTTAAAGAATCTAGTTCTATTAGTTTCCCAGATAAACGAAATTCTACATTTAATTCATATGGGAGGTGCCAAGCGCCCATTGAAAGTCCGCCCGTTATTCTCAAAATGTTCACATGAATGCCAAATTTCTTCATGTAAAATTTGAAGATTCTAGCTCTAATAGTTTCTCAGATATACGAATTTTTCTATTTAATTTATATGGTGATTAAAATCCCCCCTTTTTTTTACAAAATGTTCAGATGAATATAAAAGTTCTTCGTGCAAAATTTTAAGAATTTAGTTCCATTAGCTATATAAACGAATTTTTGTAATTAACTCATATGGGAGGTACCGCTCCCCTCATTGGTAGTCCGCCAATTTATAACCCAAAATGTTTACAAGGCTGTTAAAGTTCTTCGTGCAAAATTCTAAGATTCTAGTTGTAATAGTTTCCATGATAAAGGAATTTGTGTATAATTTATATGGGAGGTGCCACGCCCTACTTTTTATCCTAAATAATCATATTGACTCTAAGTCAATATGAGTCCTCAAATAAAAAGTAGCCTATAACCTCTTCCAAGAAAATCGGTTTAGCCGTTTAGTAGTCTATGAACTTCAAATATACAAACATACAAACATATAATCACATATTCATTTTTATATATATAGAAGATTATATAGCTTGCCAAAAAAAGACCGTCGAAGCTCGTCCAATCTCTCAAAGGAACTTTCACGGAATGCAGAGACATTGTAACCGCCAAGATCCGCCGAAATAGGTTTTTTCAATTAAAAAAAATAATTTGGGGAAATTTATTACTAAATCCTATTATAACAGGAAAAATATATGTGGTAGACATTTTTAAACTGCATAGATAGATTCAGAGACACAAAATCCGAAATTTCGTAATTCAAAGATTAAATTTTAAACTTTTAAATAATAAATCCCAAATTGTTTACAATAAAATTAAGGATGATTAACTTGTTATTTGAAAAAGGTGGATTTTTTATTAAAAAGTGGGATTGGAATCTAAGTCGGGATCAACCTTTAAAAAGCATAGTACCGCTTTTGGAGGGTTTTCTGGACACGTTATGCATAGCCGAATTAGTTTTATTTATTTTTTGAAAATATGTGAAATTTTAAATTTTTTATTTGTTCTTTTATTTTTTAGATCACGACCTCTTCATAAACTTTGCGAATATGAAGGCCGACAACTCCCAGACGATTATAAGTCAGATTGCTATGAAGACATAGATGAGTCCAACTACGCTTGCAAAGAAAAATATAGAATAATGGTAAGTAATTGATGCTTTTAAAACAACTGTCAGTATAAATGGATGTGACGTAAAATTTTGTTACAATGTTAGTTTCAGATGTATTTTTAGGAAGATAAGCTTAAACAATAAAATAACATTTAAACATGTATAAAAAAAGTTCTAATACATACAGTCACACAGATAATATTACATAAGCGTTAACAATTCAAAATTTATTATATAAATATAAGCAGGAATAAATTCCCGGGAATATTTTTTTCGAAAATCCCCGTAAGATTTTGTTGAGAATTTCTAGAATTCAATTTAACAACTTTCTATTAAATTTGCTAAAAATAGCAGTTACTTTTATGAAATTTTTTGCTCGAATTTAAAATATTGCACATGTGATAATTTTAATTAGAGCTAAGCAATTTGATTTTAGTACGATTATATTAAATATTAAATTTTAATTAAATTTATAAAATAAATCCGATTAGAATGATTTCAAGTCCATCATTATAATGTCGACAGTCCTTTTAAATTCTTTATTTTAAGATTCTTCCATTTTTTCTATCAATCTTGTTAATTCACAAAAAATCAAATTTACATTTTTATTTAAAATTACACTGGTCTGTAATGAAATCCTCCTTTAAGAAATGTATTATATAATCAATGATATTGCCACGCTGAAACTATGCCTGCCTTCGATTTCTTCCAATCACGTCACAATTTATGCCAATTCACTATTTTTTTAACACTTATGGTACGGAACTTAAATATAAAACATTTTCAGTAATATTTTTATACCCACCATCAAAAAAGATGGGGGGTATATTGATTTTGTCATTCCGTTTGTAACACATCGAAATATTGGTCCTAGACCCACAAAAGTATATATATTCTGGGTCCTTATTAAATTCTAAGACGATCTAGCCATGTCTGTCCGTCCGTCTGTCTGTCTGTCTGTTGAAAGCACGATACAGTCCGAAATATACAAATATTCTCTATAGGTAGGGTTTTGAAAATGGGCAATATCGGTCCACGTTTTCGGATAGCACCCATACAAGTGGACCCCCGAAAAACAGCTTTAAACAATGAAATTTGACATAAAAAAGTCTCTTATGATCCAAAACCTCTCTACCAAATTTTATGAGGATCGGCCCATAATTGACCCTACCCCCCCATATAAGGTCCCCTACAGAAAATGACTTTAACGCTCAATACTGGCTTAAAAATATGAGTATAGTGATCAAATTTAACACACATAAGTTTCATGTGATCCAAAATCTCCCTACCTAATTTTATGTTGATCGGTCCATAATTGACCGTACCCCCCATATAAGGTCCCCTTCAGGATATGACTTTAACGCTCATTACTGACTTAAAAATACGAGTATAGTGATGAAATTCGACACACATAAGTTTCAATGAAGCCAAAATCTCTCTATCAAACTTTATGTGGATCGGTCCATAATTGGCCCTACTCCCTATATAAGGTGCCCTTCAAAAAATTACTTAAACGATCATTACTGGCTTAAAAATGCAGTATATAGAAAAGCGATGAAATTCGACACACATATTTTTTATACGAGTTAAAATCTCTCTACCAAATGTATTGATGATCGGTCCATAAGAAAATTACTTTAACGATCTTTGTTGACTTAAAATACGTGAACAGTTATGAAATTTTATATAAGAAACATTTATAGGAACGTAAATCTTCCTACCGAATTTCATGCGAAAGTGTCGGAAAGTGATATTCGATGTAAAAATTTTTATTTGGTTTTATAACGAATTTGTTTGATTTTCACACAGAAGGAAAATATTTTCTTACAAACACTTTATTGAAATAAATTTAATTTTCAGTAAACATTTTTACTGGTTTAATAAATGTTTTTGTTTGAGTTTTATTTATATATTAGCATATGGAATGCAATAATAAAACAAGTTTTGGAATGTACTAAAATGAATTGATATAATTCTTACTTGGTTTATAACATTTAATGTATAAGTGATTCAGTTTTCACAGTACAAAATAATAGTTTCTAGAATGTGAAATAAAATTGTTGTAAGTATATAAGCAGCGTTACCGTTGGAAAATTTCGAAAAGTCGCACAAAAAGGCGATTTCTCGGAAAAAAGTCATACTAAAAGGAGACATTTAACGTAGAAAGTGTCAACGTATGTAGGTAAAATCATTTTATTTGTATTTAAATGTGCATTAAATTGGCAGAGAAAAAATTAATAAAAAAATCCAAATGAAAAACCACGAAAAATGTGATTTTCGTGTGACATAAAGTGATAGTTGATATTTCTTTCCCTCACACACAAAAATCAAAAGTTTCCCAAAAAAGTATCCCTGTGTGAACCGGAGGCTGCGAAGAGACATAAATTTGTATTATATCAACGATTTTTATACCTACCATCCAGAAAGATGGGGGGGTATATTGATTTTGTCATTCCGTTTGTAACACATCGAAATATTGGTCATAACCCACAAAAGTATATATATTCTGGGTTCTTATTAAATTCTAAGACAATCTAGCCATGTCTGTCCGTCCGTCTGTCTTTCTGTTGAAAGCACGATAGAGTCCGAACGAGATAGAGGATTGAAATTTTCCACAAATATTCTCTATAGGTAAGGTTTGTTTGGTATTGAGCCCCCATACAAGTGGACCCCCTAAAACAGCTTTAATGGGCATATCTGTTTCAAAAGTACGAGTATAGCGATGAAATTCGACACACAAAAGTTTCAATGAAGCCAAAATCTCTCTATCAAACTTTATGTGGATCGGTCCATAATTGACCATAGGATTGGTCCATAAGAAAATCACTTTAACGATATTTGCTGACTAAATAATACGTGAACAGTTATGAAATTTTATATAAGAAAGATTTATAAGAGCGTAAATTTTCCTACCGAATTTCATGCGGAAAGTGTAGCGAAGTGATTGATATTCGATGTAAAGATATTTTGTATGAACCAAAATCGGTCTAAAAAATTTTTATGAAAAACGGTAAATTATTAACCCTGTCTCTGATATAAGGTCCTCTTCAGTTAATTTGATGAGTAATATCACCCTGATGTTTATAGGGGAGCATTCTTTTTAAGGCATACAGTTTGAAGGTGGGTATATGAGATTCGGCACAGCCGAATATAACACTCTGACTTGTTATATTTTCTAAAACGTTTTCTAGCTGTCACTTTTAATGTTTCAGCATATTAAGGACATTCTTAAAATATTTTTCTAGTTAGATGATTCACCAATTTTTAATATAATACTGTAACTCGATTCTAATGGAAAAAATATACGAATTTGTATGTTAAATACATTGTGTTCGAAAAATGTTTCTTTCAAATCGAAAAACAGACAAACCCCCCTGATCAACTCAGAATATGTTTAAAAAATTCCATCTCCCATGCTCACTATTTGTGGGCCGTTTCATCCGTAGAACAGTCAAATAGACAGAAATAGATAAATTTTTAAATAAAATCGATGAGCGTCTTCTACTTGTAAAAACATATTATTTATATAAAATTTGGCACATCTGGGACCAATTAATAAATTTTAAGCGATTTTCGGAATTTAATCCTGTATTTGACCATGGTTTAATCATTAATACTGAATTTCATTATCGTACATCAATAGTTACATGAACATCAATACTATTTTCGGAATAGTGCATACAGTGGGGGTAAGATCATTTATAGACCCATCCACATAAATATTGGTAGGAATATTTTGGTTTTTTTAAAATTTATTTATGTCGAATTTCATAGGTATAACAACATTTTTAAATCAGTAATGATTGTTGGAGTCATTTTCTGTAGAAGATGAAGGTCCTATGTGTGACAACTATGAAAAGATCTTCATAGAATTTGAAAGATTTTGGTTTCTACATAATTTGTTAATTTTTATGGGTTAATTATATCTCGATTATCATAAAATTTGCCCATTTTCAATACTAAACAAATCTTACCTATAGGAAATATTTGTGTAAAATTGCAAGCCTCTAGCCGTTCGGTCGGCTTTCATGCTTTCAACAGACAGACGGACGAACATGGGTAGATCGTCTTGGAATTTAATAAGGATCCAGAATATATATACTTTTGTGGATCTATGACCTACATATATTTCGATGTGATACAATCGGAATGACATTTTTGTATATAAATACAAAAAAGTGTTTTATTCAAAAAGGGGCAAAAAGTGGCAAGAAGCGAAAAAAGTCTCAAATTTAGTTCATTTTGACAAGGGGTCATAAAAAGTGACAAAGCACTTGAAAAAGGGTCAAATTGCGACTTTAGTCTCACAACGGCAACGCTGTATATAAGTACTTTTTTCTACAAATTTTAATTTTATAGAATTAGTATATATTCAATAAGGAATTTTGTGTATTATTATTGCCAAAACACAATAAATAATTTATCTGTTTCAGATAAAATAATTGCTTGACTTTCAGTACAAATACAAATAATTTGCGTTATTGTTTTAGTAAAATAATTGTTTGGAAATGTTGCGAATATTTATTAATGTTTTTCGTAAATAGTATATTATTTTAATAAGAAAAATTCTGAAATTTTTTCAGTAACGAATTTGAGTACTTGATTTTACGAATTTCGTGATAGGTCCCATTTTAGTAAAAAAAATACTTGGCTTTATGAATTTTTTGTTTGATTTTGAATTTTATTTTTTTCTGTGCAATGAAAAAGTAAAATGAAATTCCATCCGTTTAACAATACAAGTAAGAAAGTATAGTCGGGCGTGGCCGACCATATGATACCCTACACCAGTTATGAATATTAAATGTGATTTATTTTTCATAATAAAGCATTTATCTTCAACATTCCCTTGTTCCGATACATTTAAGCAATTTATGAATGAAAAACTAATTTTCTGAAAGAGGCTTTATATGGGGGCTAGGGGCAAATATGGACCAAGCCCGAAAAAATTTTGTGGATATATTTATATTTACATAATATTTTATTGTACTGAATTTCATCGCGATATTTGTGTTTATAAGTTAATTAGGGACTTT